GGCTGGGGGTGTGCTCAGAGGGAAAACGGAGCCTCGAGGGGCTTGGGAGTGTGGGGCCGGGTGTCTTATCCAAAGGAAACTCAGGTGTGTGGGGGGGCGTGCTGGGGGTGTTCTCAGAGGGGAAACAGAGGCACGAGGGGTGCTGAGGGTGGGGGGCTGGGTTTCTTCTCCATGGGGACACTGAGGGATGAGGGGGGCTGAGGGTGGGGGGCTGGGTGTCTTCTGGCTGGGGAAACTGAGGCACGAGGTGGGCTGTGTCTTCTCAGTGGAGAAACTGAGGCATGAGGGGGGCTGAGGGTGGGTGGCTGAATCTCTTTTCCATGAGGACACTGAAGGATGAGGGGGGCTGAGTGTGGTGGGGAGGCTGGAGATGTTCTCTGTGGGGAAACAGGCATGAGGGGGGTGGGGGTGTGGGACCAGGTGTCTTATCCATAGGGAAACTGAGGCATGAGGGGGAATGAGGGTGGTGGGGGGGCTGGAGGTGTTCTCTGTGGGGAAACTGAGGCACAAGGGGTGTTGGGGGTAGGTTTCTTTTCTGTGGGGGTGCAGTAGATTTGGGCACTGATGAGCCTGGAGATGGGAATTCAGCATCAAGGTCTCCCCTCTCCTTGCTTTTCATTGTGGGGGTGTCTGTTCTTGCCCAACAACCCTGGTGTCCCACCTCCAGCTGCTCTTGTTCTCACCCACGGCTTCACTCCATCCTGGGAAAACAAACTGGAAATCCTGGGTCCTCTGTCCCCCCCCTGCTCTTGGTGGGGGTTCCTCTCTGGATCCTGGGATGCTGGGGAGGATGGGAAGTGTGGGATGGATCCTGGGGAGCCAGGGACGGTGCAGGGTGGGTCCTGGGGGCCAGGGTGGATGGGAGGGCACAGGACAGATCCTGGGGTGCCAATGAGGATGTAGGATAGATCCTGAGGTGCTGGGGAGGACGGGAGGGTACAGGGTGAATCCTGGTGTGCCCGAGGATGGAAGGGTGCAGGACGGGTCCTAGGGAGAATGTGGGATAGATCCTGGGGTGCTGGGGAGGATGTGGGTGCCAGAGAGGATGGGAGGTGCAAGATGGGTCCTGGGGAGGATGCAGGATGGGTGCTGGGGAGGATATGAGGTGCAGGACAGATCCCGGGGTGCTGGGGGAGGCAGGGGATGGATCCTGGAGAGCGTATGAGGGTGCACAATGAATCCTGGGGTGCTGGGGAGGTGGGAGGGTACAGGACAGATCCTGGGGTTCCATGGAGGACGTGGGACAGATCTGGCCATGACCCCCCTCCCCTCCCCACACAGGATCGCAAGCAGCAACAACCTGAACAAGTCGGAGAGTGACCAGGAGGACAATGATGACATCAACGACAACGACTGGTCCTACGGCTCCGAGAAGAAAGGTGGGGGGTCCCTGGTCCCCTCAGGGGTGGGGGGTGTGTCCTGCCTGCCCTGTGGCCCTTGACCCCAAGTCCAGGGTGGGTGTGTGGGAGGGTTTCATCCATGGGGAAGAGGAGGCCCTGGGCTTGCAAATCCACCAGAAAAGGTCAAATCTGTCCCTTCTCTGTCTCTCCCCATAGCAAAGAAGAGGAAATCAGATAAGGTGAGGGGGCAGGGGGTGCTGTGGGGTGTGTGGGGACCATGGGGGGGACATGCCCCCCGCCTCCCAATCCCCCTCTCATTGCAGAACCCCAACTCGCCCCGCAGGTCCAAGTCCCTGAAACACAAAAATGGTGAGGGGGTGGGGCTTACACTGCTGGGGGTGGGGCTTATGCATTGGGGAGGGGCTTACACTGCCTGGGGTGGGGCATCTGTGGGGGCGGAGCATCGTGGAGGGTGGGGCTTGGGGTGGGAGCAGAGTTTTGGGGGGGCATTTGGGTGGGGGGGGATGTAAATGAGGGTGGAATATTT